TCATTGGAGCATGGAACGGACTCCCTGATGCAGTGGTTCTTCCCGAAACTGTTGAAGCATATAAGTCCAGACATGACGTTCATTTGCTGAGAAACTACTGTACACATATTCACGACCTTCTAACGGCGGCAGTTTGCGGCTGGCTCACACTTGCAGTTGACTTTTGAATTTCGAGATTTTCTGATGTTGCAATTAATTCTATTTCTGTTTATCCATATGAATCGGATGCTCAAGTCCGAAAGCCTCATTCCCTTAATAAACTGACTTGCTTGCTTTCTCTGCGTTAATTTAAACGCCGCCAAAGAATTTCTTTACCTCCAAATTCTTCTGGTGTTTCGCTAGTGATAGACCACACAACCATGTTAGAGTTCACTTCGGGACTACGGCTAAGTGTTCCATTTCCAAAGGTGTGTCTTCAGTATTTTTTAGCCTATCGAGTTTGTTTTTATGAGAAGAAGGGCAGTCTGGGAAAATCAATAATCTGTACCCCGCTGACTGAAACGCTTCAAAGATGCTCGAATGTGTCGCCTCATGAGTAACAAGTTTCACCTCCCGAAAAGTAAACCAAGACGATAAACTGCGTGCGTTCTTCCCATTTTTAATATAGCTACCCACGCTTAAGTTTTCTAAAGCAATCGACTCCTCCCAAAATGAAAAGTATTTTGAGTATTCCCTTTATATAAATTTTATACCCTTCACCACTATTACCTCTAATCTACTCGCATAACAGACCGATTATCTCGCAGGCAGACGTCAGCATGCGTGTATTGCTGACTCCAAGTCCAGTCGACGGCGCTAGTCGTCCTCGACTGCGCCCGCCGTCAACACCATGACTGGTTCAATGACAAGGACGCCGCCACCAGCAATCTGCTCACCGAGAAGAACCGCCTAAAGAAAGCCTACGCAGACAACCGCACTGACGACAACAAAACTGCTTTCTACCACAGTCGCCGCCACATTCAGCAACGACTGTGCGAGATGCAGAACGCCTGGATGGATCGCAAAGCTGAGGAGATCCAAGGATACGCGGACCGCAACGAGTGGAAGAACTTCTTCTCCGCGATTGAAGCTGTCTACGGTCCGCCGACGAAGGGCACAACTCCTCTCCTCAGCGCCGACGGCAATACCCTACTCACTGAAATGACAAAAATTCTACAGCCTTCGACCGAACACTTCCGAGGCGTTCTCAATCGCCCCTCCGCCATCTCCGACGCCGCCATCGCCCGTCTGCCGCAATTAGAGACCAACACAGACCCCGACCTCCCACCCTCTCTCCAGAAAACCATCAGGGCCGTGCAGGAGCTCTCCAGCGAGAAAGCGGTCGGATCGGACACGACTCCTGCTGACGTTTACAGGCACGGCGGTCCGCAACTCATGGATAACCTGACTGCGCTCTTCCAAGAGATGTGGCATAAAGGTGAAATTCCGCAAGACTTCAAAGACGCAACCATCGTGCAACTCTACAAGCGGAAAGCGAACCGCCCAGTCTGCGACAATCACCGTGGCATTTCTTTGTTGAACATCGCCGGGATGATCTTCGCTCGCATCCTCCTCAACTGCGCGAGTAATCATCTAGACCAGGGCCTACTACCGGAAAGTCACTGCGGTTTCCGTCGTCATCGTGGGACCACGGATATGATCTTCGCCGCCCGTCAACTTCAGGAGAAGTGCCAGGAGATGCGGACCCACCTGTACTCTATCTTCGTGGACCCGACGAAAGCCTTAGACACGGTGAATTGTGAAGAACTGTGGCAGATCATGCAGAAATTCGGCCATCCGGAGCGATTCATCCAGACGATGCGGCGTCAGCTGCACGACGGTATAATAGCGCGAGTCACGGACAACGGTGCTGTCTCATAGGCATTCGCAGTGAGCAACGGAGTGAAGCAGGGATGCGTGCTGACGCCTACCCTCTTTAGTCTTATGTTGTCTGCCATGCTGATGGACGCCTACCGTGATGAACACCCCGGGATCCGCATCGCCTACAGGACGGACAGTCACCTCCTAAATCAACGGCGGATGCTCTTCCAATCGCGCGTCTCAACAACCACGGTTCACGACCTTCTCTTCACCGACGACTGCGCCCTGAACACCACCTCGGAAGAGGATATGCAAAGTAGCATGGACCTCTTCTCTGCCGCCTACAAGAACTTCGGTCTGGTCATCAACACGCAGAAGACGGTGGTCATGCATCAAACGCCACCCAACTCAGACACTCCTCCCAACGCGCCGCAAATCAGCGTGAATGGAACGCAACTGCAAGCGGTGGACAACTTCCCGTACCTGGGCAGCACCCTCTCCCGTAACACCAAAATCGATGACGATGTCGCTAACAGGATCTCGAAAGCCATTCAAGCCTTCGGCCGCCTCCAAAGCACGGTTTGAAATTGTCGCGGTCTTCACCTGAACTCGAAGCTGAAGATGTACAAGACCGTCATTCTGCCGACGCTGCTGTACGGATTGCAGACTTGGACAGTGTACCCAAAGCAGGCAGGCCGACTGAACCACTTCCATCTCAGTTGTCTTCGCTGGCAGGTTCTTATCCCCGACACTGATGTACTTGAACGGACGGGCATCCTTAGTATCTACACCATGCTGAGACAAATGCAGCTGCCCTGGAGCGGCCACCTGGTGCGCATGGACGATCAGCGACTACCCAAACGACTCTTCTACGGAGACATCGCAACGAATTCTTGACGTCAAGGAGGCCAAATTTGTTGAAACAAGGAAACTCTGAAGTCCACCCTAAAGCATCTGCAAATTAACCCGACCAACTGGAAGAGCTCGCCCTCGACCGACCGACCGACCTGGAGGAGGAAAGTGAAGACAGGCGCTGCGATCTATTAAACCAACCGATTCGCCGCTGCCAAAGTGAAACGTGAAGCACGTAAAACACAACTGCGCCCAGTACGCAACGCCGACGCACAACCGCTACCAACTGTCCTCGGTGTCAACGGACATTCCGGGCTGGAATCGGACTTGTTGGACATCTTCGGATCAACTGTACTTCTCAAACCGCACCAACCGCCGTCCCTCCGCCCGCCTCTTCCTCGTCCTCTCTGCCGCCAAATAACTCTGTGAATTCTTCTGGACCACCGCTTCCATTCTCCTCCTCCTCCTCATCCTCCTCCTCCTCCTCCTCCTCCTCATCCTCCTCCTCCTCCT